GGGCTGTGAGAAAGAAGAAGAATATAACTGTGTGTTACCTCCCAAATTATGTTGAGTGGTGGACTGTTAAAAACTGTTTATGGACAGAGTTAAAGGGGTTACTTCAGTGCAGCTGTACAAAGGGTCTAATGGAAGACCCAAGAGATGTGGGAAAGTAGAATTTAAAGATGTGGACTATGCTAGAGATGCACTCAAGGCTCCAGTTCAGTGGGAGCTTTAAGGAAACCCCTTAGACCTGAAAAGCGAGTCTGTGATGATGAAAACTTCATGAACTCTCTCAGAAAACTAGAGAACTATGGCCACTGGTCACAGAAAGGACTCCCACTGTAAGCAGGAGCAAGATCACAGCTTAGATCATGAAAGAACCCACCAAGTGGTGGCTACAGGGTCTGCAAGATGAGAACCTAGGCTGACATTGTTGATATGGGAACCCAATAACAGCTGCAGATGTTTTAACTCCCCCCCCCACCGCCACCAAAGGTGGGATAGGAACAAGGGGGGTGACAAAGCCTGGCACACTCTGTCACTTAAAGAGAAGCAACCCAGAACAGGCAGGGTGCATCTGGGACTGCGTTGCCATAGAAACTAGCTAAAAAGATAAATTAGCAGGCATCTGCAAGCAACCCAGAGATGTCACCCGACGAAGAAGGCAGGGCCCTAGAGAGATATAAGAGAGGGCCAGAGCCAGGGCAGGCAGTCTGCCCATGGAGGCTGAGCAGGGACGTGTTCTCCAGAGGTGCTTGCAACTGGGAAGCAAACTGTGAGTGTGCTAGGCCCTGAGACAGCTAGGGAAGCTGAGGTCTAGCAGCTGATTAAGGCCTAGGGAGGGTCTGGTGCTTGAAGGAAGACTTGGTGATTTGGAGGGACTAAGGGGAGGTTTGGAGGTCCCAGAGTGCCTAAGGGGGGGCAATCTCATATAGCCCAAAAAGGGGTAGAGACCAGGTCTGGGCCCCAGATACAAAGAGCTAGAGAGAGAGAAAGCCCAGGGATGCTCAGAATGTTGAGCCTGGCTCAGCAGAGAGAACACAGAAAAAGTCCTTGGAATAGATAGGCCTAGGGCCTGGGGCTCAGACAGAATCCAGGGATGCTCAGAAGACCAAGACGGGCTAAGCCAGAGGCTGACAGGGCAAAACCAAAAGCTGGGAACCCCTAAGCTCAGTTCAGTCAGTGGACCAGAGCTAGAGGGCTCAGCAAGAGCAAAAGGGCAGAGGCCAAGATAGCCAAGGCCCAACTCGGAAACAATGGCAGGCTTGCCCTAGGTCCCTTAGGCAGCCTCCATCCTTTTCAAATAATAACATCAAAGGCATGGCAGGTGAGTAAGAAGATGAAGGCCTACTAGAAATAGAGCTGGGGCAGGAGCTGCATGGCCACCAAGGGGCATCATAGCTGCCCCTGGATCCATACCTTTCACAGTAACATACTCTTAGACCAAGAAATCATATATTTACCCATGTTTTTACTTTTATACATGTCCCTATATTTCAGACCTAAGCTAGCACCCAAATTTACCTATGAACAGGGTGACCATATGGCCCAGTTTGTCTGGGACAGTCCCGGATTTCAGAGGCCAGTGAATATTAAAATGAGCATCCCAGGTGCAGAGCAGGTAAGCGGAGTGGCTCAAGCTGTGAAATAGGAAGCCCTAGGAGACAGCAAAATTGCCCTAAAATAGGTTGGCTTGCTTAGATAGGTTAGATGATTAACACCTGTGAAGTAAAGAACAATGGGTCATTAATGGGCCCCCTTAGCTGCCTGAATAGTAATACCAGAGCTGTCCCTGAATAGTAATACTACACTGCCCCACCCCTGCCTGCAGCAGCATTGCTAACTTGAGAGGCTGGGGGCGGGGTGGGGGGGTAGGCATTGTGCTGGATTTCACATTGTCCTATATGGTCACCCTACCTATGAATACCCATAAAAACCATCAGACATTAAACATAGCTCACACATTAAATTAATCAGGCATTTTATAAAGTAAACCAAGCATGCTGGATTGATTAAATAATGCAACAAAATTGTATCACATTTTAAATATTATTTTCCATGAATTAAATAGTTGAAGTATACCTCCAAAATATAAACTCATAATTTGCCTAATAACTTTCCAAAAATATAGGATGAGGAAAACAGTTACTCAAAATGTGGTAGTATTCCAAGAATTTGCTTAAAATACTCTTTACAAACCTATCATATATTTATTTTGAATGTACAAATAAAGCTTGATCATTCTACTTTACTTCCTACATCTGCATTAATACATTCAATATTGTAGGTCTGACAACTATGACATTCCTAATTAAAGCAAATAAAAGCACTGCAATAAATTAATGTAATTACTTCTAAACTACCATACATAAGTGAGATGAGCACCAAACTAGAACAATCCGGTATATAGGAATATTCATAATTAAAGACTTTGTCAAAAATAAAGTGTACCAACTATGCATGTATCTGACTTGCTAAAGAAACAAAAAATGCTAATTAGTTCATTAGAGGCCTCTAGGTTGTGATATTTAGCGACAGGATATAATATCTGGCTTGTTCATGGACCATAATTGTACTCAGGATGAAAAATTGTTTCCAACAAAGAACTACCCTTCCTGTTTCAGATTTCCTGCTGGCTTCTTTTTATGAGCTGCATGCCTTTCAACACATCAGCATCATTCAGCTTACCCTGTCATGGAATAAAAGTGAAGGCAGGTCCAGATTTCATCATGCTGCGTGCGATAATCTAACCTTTACATCAAACCTCCTTTGCTTAGTAATTTATTGTAGCTCCTGTTTTCTTGAAAGTGAGCTTCTTTAATTAGTGTGCTCACAGGCATTAGCAGAAACCATATGTGAGTCTACTGTTCTCTAAATTGCTGCCTGCCTACAGGGAGAGGTAATAGGTGAGGCTAATAACTGTAGTTAACAATATTTACTGATCAAAACAAAAGTTAAAATGTTGTATTGAAGTATTGTAATATGGTGAAATAATTGAAAAATATATTTTCATGATGTGACCTGTACCCACAATATTTTTCTAATGACAAAAATTGAGAATAATAGATCATAATACATGTAACTTGTTGGTAGAAGATAGTATGCTACACCTATAATATACTGTTTTATAATAGTCTTTCACATACATAAAACTTATGTTGGAATCTAAACTCTTAGTGGCCTCTAGGATAATGTTTTTCATCTATTAAATGCCATAATATATTCTTAATACAACAGAAATAATAGAAATAATTATATCAGTTGAAACACATCCTTTATAGAAATAATGAAACTAATTCACAGAAATTGCAACATTATTATTCTATTACATCACGTGCGCATATAATTACAAGAGCTTGACTACCATAATGATTGGAAATGTGCAAACATATATAGACAGAGATAAAATTCTGTTTCAAACTTACTAGGACAAATTAAGAGAGATTTTTCCTGAGTCAATATCCTTCCTCTATTCCTTTACCCCATGATTGCTTACATCAGGGGTGGGCAATTATTTCGGGCAGAGGGCCATTTACTGAGTTTTGGCAAGCCACTGAGGGCCTCATGACAGGCAGCCGGGGGCAGAAAAATATTAATTTTCTAAATTTTTTAGGGGCCCCACAGGCCAGATAGAATGGCCTGGTGGGCTGCATGTTGCCCACCCCTGGCTTACATTCTGCTTGCCTCTTTTGCCACATACTCTCTATTGTACAGCAGGAAGCCAGGCACTTTGAAAAGTTATTTGTATACGCCAATACTTTGTTTAACAAATCTCAATCTTGTAATAGTAGTGAAATCTTCATGTATGAGAGGATAACATGCAGATAACCAAAATCTTGACACACTGAATGTCTGTAAGTCTGGGTGATTCTGCTGAATGCACCCAACACTACTTATGCATTTTGTATTAGCTACTTAGAGTAAAAAAACACAAGCAGAAGCTACTTTGTCTCTCTCAGAGGAGTTCTCTCATTGGTGAGCTAATCATGGACTGTCTTGCTTGCTGTCCTTTGGTCTGTAGGACTCTTGCCCTCTTGGCTGGCCAGTGGCCCTGTTGCAGCTGCAACTTAGCCTATTCAATAGTCGGATGGTTAGATCACCTAGCTGGAAATGTGCATTTGAATGCCCTTGGGCCAAGAGCCTATAAGCAGGACAATTTCTTGGGTTAACCTACTTAGCTACTGTGCAAAAAGCAGGCATCACTACACTTTTTCTCTCTTTCCTTCACACTGAAATGTGTTCATGCTTTCAGAGTTAAACAGTTGGCGGATGTGCTTTGCAGTTGCCTAAGGGATCTGGGGACTTGGACAGATTTAGGCATCTCATCTAGCATCAATTAGGATTGCAACAGACCTTACGTGGGAGTTAGGTGCCTAGCTAGCTGATATGGATCGGTGCTAAGCACGTACAATTGCTAAAATCTAGGGACTTCCACAAGCCTGTATGAAGGTGGGACTACATTCGGTGTGGGAATGCAGGTGATTTTTTAGCTGCTGGAGTAAGGTCTATCTGGATCACTTTTTGTGACTTGGGCTGAATATCAGAAGCAATTTAAACACCCACTTGAATCTGGCAATTAGTCTTTGAGGAAACAGAAAACTAGGTTTTCAACTACAAAGACAGCTGGACAATGAGGGCCGCAGAAGCAAATAGAGTGGTGATAGATGTGGGGAGGGGGAGGGGATGGGGTGATGGTGGCATTACTCCAGCCCAGCTCCACAGCATCTGTATAGTTAAGGTGCTTCAGCAGGGCTTTTTGGCGCTTTTAGCTAAAGCTGATTCAATCAGCTACTGGACAAAAGTGCCTGATCTCTACAGACTTTGGGAAAACCAGGTGCAAATCATGTGCTGCCTCTTCTGGGCATGCACTGGACTCAGCACGGAAGAGTACCAAGTTTAAAGTAAAGTGCTGTTCCCTCCACCCTGAGACCCACATCCGCAAGCAGCCATACATTTAAAAATCCAAGTCAACATTAGACAAACCGCTAACCAGATATCAAAACTCAAAAGGATATAGACATCTTCGTCACAAACTTGTCATGTTTATCTTCAGGAGGAGGAAAAGTCTCCAATTCTGTCTCAAGCTGCTGGAGCTGCTTTTCCATCTGTTTCAGGCTTTTCTCCAGGTTTTCTGCTGAAACTAAAATACCACATATTTATTGTAATAAGATATTGAAAAAAAACAAACAGTAAGAGATGCATTTTTTGAAAAGACCTAAAATAGTAAGACTATCAACATACTTCAATGTCTAATTTTGGAACAGAATTGTAAAAGTAAAGCAGAGTGCAAGGATATTAGCCATTGCTTAATGATTTTTTCCTCAGTCGTACAATTCCCTCAGTCTGATTAGTTGCATCAAATTTAAATAAATTATAAGTTTTTTTTTACCACAATAGTACAGCAAAAAATTCTATTCCCTACGTGGCACTCAGGGTTTTGCACTAAAAACAAAGTTTATTTCTAATTAATCTGTGCTGCAAGCACACAAATCTTTACTTGTGATTAACCCCTGCAGTCAGACAGTACTAGTTATTTCCCAGCAGTCAACATACTCACCATAGCATCACTCTCCTAAAGCAGAAAATATTAATATTTGCATAGAAAAAAAGAACAACAGGAACCCCAATATATAAAAAATACAAGATTAAACAGTTGTAGGGGAATTTGCTTAAAATTTAAAAGACAACAAAGCCCTTTCACATATTTTCCTCTTAATTCAATTTTGGAAACTAAAAACTGTACATAACAGTTACTCTGAGGTAATGTGCCTTTCTAGTCCACAGGAATGTTAAGGGATACAAGGAATGATAAGACAAGGAAATTAGTGGAAATACAAGGATCAAGAACATCCAGAATGTTACTTCATCAAAAAAGAACACAATTACTTTTGACAGTCTGGCGTGCATTTTAAATATTTACTCTTTAATGTATATTTTTGAAAAAAAATAATTAAGCATGCCACTATAATACCACATTTACCAAAATCTATGACAACCCCCCACTAATTTAAGACAACATCCTGACAATTAGATTCTAGACATGGAAAAAAATAATTTAAAAAAATTCATTTCCAATATCCATTTTTGGAAGGTCATAAATTCACCCCCACCCTACCACTGTAGCAGTGCAAGCAGCAGCAAGGGGAGCCAAGTGGCCTGCCCCTTCACTCCTATCCCCCACACCAGTGTTTTTCAACCCGTGGTATGTGTACCTCTGCGGGGTACGCAAGACATGGGTGGGGGTATGAGGGTGCTGCGTTTTGGTCTTTGCCTGCTAGGGCCAGAAGTTTCAGCCGCCGCCTCTCCCATCATGTCTGGTGCACCGGGGCTTTCACTCCCCAGCGTCAGTGTGCCAAGGGATAGGGAGGAAGGCCCCGTGCAGGCTGCTTTGCCTTGGGCTGTGGTGGAAAAAGTGGGACTTGGCTTGCGGCGGTGAAACCGGAAGTGCCACAGTGGACTTACGGTTTTGCTTTTGCCACACTGATCAGCACGGGGTACATAAGGTACCAAAGGCTGAGAACCACTGCTCCACACCACTTGCCCATCCTGCTGCCTGGTCCATACCTGCCCATCTCCCCACAGTGCCTGCACCCCGCTACTACCTTCCTCCCTATCACTTTCTGCTCCTGCCTGACCTCCCCAGAGACCCCCGCCCACCTACCTGCCCTCCCCATGCCTGCATTCCAATTCTTGCTTCCCCCTGTATTGCACTTCTTCTCTACTGCCTGCCTCCCATGCCGCCCCTCTCACATTCCTGCCACCACTTGCCTTCTTCTTGCAGTTCTAGCTAGGGTACCACCTTAGTTCAGGTCAAGGAGCAAGGGCAAGTGCTGCCTCTGGCTCCAGCCCAGCCACATAGCAGCTGTTATACCAGTGACAGCTATGGCCCACCTGCTGGGTGTCCAAATTGGGGCCAGAAACAGCATATGTTCTGCCAGCCCAGGCCAGAGTGGGGCCCCAGCTGGAGCTAGAGTTGCTAACCCCCCTGGGATTGCCCTGGAGTCTCCAGGAATTAGATATAAATCTCCAGGAGACTGCTGAGTCACCAGGAAGGTAAGTGATAGGGCATTCATTAAAATATATATTAAATGTTGAATCTGATGTATACAATAGTCCAGTGGGTTTTTAAAATGTAATAGTAAAGTGCATTTGCCTTCCTGACGTAATGACTCATTAATGTCATTACATCATGTGATGAAACCTCTGTTTGAATCTGTTCCAGGAGATGGCAACCCTAGCTGGAGCCAGAGCCACAAGGAGATGGTAGCAGCTGTGGCAGTTGTGAGGGATGGGAAAGGAAAGGGCAGAGGCAGGGAAGAATGAAGGTGGAGAGGGAACAGCTGCAGCGCAGACCCAAGGCTCAGTCAAAGCTGATATTATCCTCTCCTTCCCAGTCCCACCTTTAGTCATATCTAAGACAAGGTGCTTCCCCCACCAAGTTTATTAAAGAAAAAAAAAAACAAAACTTACCTTGGATTTGAGTAAATATGATAATAATATTCTGAAGGTTGATGACTAGAAAATTATATTTTCAGCCTAAAATCATCCAAGACCAGTATATTTTCATTTGTTCTTCTGCCTACACTGCGTTTTGGCTTAAATAGCTTGATCTCTTGCTCCTGGTGTTTAACCTCCCTATTTATTTAAAAAACAATATTTATATCCTGTTTGAGCCTTTATGTTGGTAGATTAAATAAAAAACACTGGTTATCTCATGTACAATAGGTTCTCCATTCATTTGATCATTCAAATACCCCTCTACCACAGGTGCTTCAATAGGAATTCATTTTTCTGGAATGTGGATGACCAGAACTGTACAGAGTATTCCAGAAAAGATGTCACTGTTAACATCCTAACTAATAGCAGCAATTCTTGTTATGAGTCACTAGGTGCCTAATCTTGGAAACTGCCTTTTTCCTTTTATTTCTATAACTGATTCCTCAAGGTCATTAAACCAGTTTTCCCTGTAATGGTCATTATCCAGTTCTTCTTAGTGCTCCTCTGTGTTGCCAATGTCTCCCAACTTTCTGACCTCAACAACAAATTTCATGTGCATGCTATTTATTCTTAGCCAAGTCCATTAATAAAATATTAAACAATGCAGGTCCAAAGACAGAACCTGGAGTAACTTCTCTAGTAACTTCTTTCCAGCC